TTTGTAAATGACAACATGTGCTAGGTGCACCGAAGTGCCATACCGAGGTGCCAACGTGTCCCTGGTCATGGCGCCGAGGTGATTTTTGGCTAGGCCGAGGTTACCTGCGAAGATACTGGCATCCGAGATGAACGGATAAGCTAATAAGAGTCCTGAATGGGGGAGGAACCTTAGCCTGGATAAGAATAAAGAACTCTTTAGGGAGTTTATCTTTATCTATTGTAAGAGTCCATGATGAAACAATTGAGCCACGAGTCCCAAAGAAGCAGGCCTTCCTAGAGGGTCAAGGTAGTGTTGGCTATAAAAGTAAGGCAACCCTCATACGGTTCTAAGTACGCTTTTTGTATTCTAGCTAGTGAGATAAGCATTGTTTGCTATCTTTGAGAGATATTGAGGTACTAACTTGATCGTCGAGTGCCCCCAGGGTGGACGAAACCACCACGGAAGTCTTATCTTTCTGTGCCAAGTTGTTTTGGGGGCACAAATCTCTATTATGCCGGTGTTCTTCCAAATTGAGTACCTGTTTTGTAGTGTGGTCAGAAATCAACACATACAATTTGGCCCGTCTGTGGAAAAGAAAGGAGAATAGTGGGCCACGCGGACAGAAAGAAAAAATTTGGGGACGACATCCCCTACTCGGAAGTGGTAAAACACATTGACCCTACGTAGAGGAGGATAACTGCAGAGAAAATTTTATATAATAGTGATATTACGTCATTATTGAGATATATATCATCAACCAATAGTAAAGCAACATTTGAATGGTGAACTCTACATGCAAATGTAACTAGCACTCTAATAACTTATATATATATATAGTGAGATTAATTATATTTGCATGTCATGGATATTACCTTTATATTGAGATTTTTTTACAAAATTTTCATACATAAAAATATAATTTGTTGTAGTCTCTTCATTTTTAATAAAACAACCACAATTGTTCTTATAAATTTAAAAATGCCATTGACATTTTATTCTAAATATTTTTCTTTGTTTAAAGTTTTATTCATATATATATATATATATATATGTAAATCCAAAACTCAGGGGGGACATGTGACCCCCTTGGGTCCTTCTTCCCTCTGCCCCTGCATGCCATATTAGTAGCCGAGTCTATTAATTGCATCTTGCATGTGTTGCATTAGTCATATTACATTAATTAGGAGTATGTATGTTTTCTAATTATTTTGCTTGTTTTGGCTCGCCTCGGAGTTTTTTTTCTTCTTCTTCTCTTTTTTCTCTCTGAAATTGATTTGAGAGAAGAGAGAGAAACAGAGAGGCGAGAGAATGAGAGAAAGATGAGGAAGAGAGGAGAAGAAAAACTCAGTGACCACAATCCAAGCCACTGCCATGGACGGAGAGGCCGAAACTCGATGGTCCACCTAGAATCCCGAACCTGAGCACACCACCAGACATGAAGACACCCAATCTATGGATTTACTTCAATAGAACAACTCAGTGACCAAACAAATTCTCACTCTTTTAAGATTCCACCCCTCATGAAGATACCGAATCCATGGATTTACTTCAACAGAACAGCTCAGTGACCAAACAAACTCAATCTATGGGTTCAGTTTAAATCTCACCATTGTTACACAGAAACACACCATTGCTCAACTGAGGGGGATCTTTCTCTCTCTAGATTCTAGAGAGAGAAGCTCTACTTTCTCTCCAAATTTGAAAGATCAGACAACTAGGCTTGATTCTGATCATGAAAAACACAACAATGGTGGTGGTGGTGGTGGAGGAGAGAGAGAGGGATTTGGTGATGATGAAGATGAAAGGGATGAGATGTGAGAGTGATAAGAATAGAGATAAAGAGGGGAGGAGACGAAAGGAAATAGATAGGGAGGATAGAGAAAATTTTCGGGCCTCTCGAGCTTAGCTTATTCGAGCTACGGGACATTTTCCGAAAAATAAATATATTTAAAATTAGGATTAATTACACTGACTTTCTCTAATATTTTAAAAATACAATAAATTTACAATTTTGATATAATTATATTGAATTTTTTAAGGTTTTAATTCACACACTAGGCCTTGTTTGTCGTAATCTAAAAAAGTTAAAAATTCAAAAAGTCATTATCCTATTTAAGTCACATCATCTTATTTAAGTCACATTACTTCTCTACTACATCACTTCAAACTCAGGCCTCGTTTGGGAATCCTCCCTTTTAGCCAAAAAGTCAAAAAGTTACTAAATTAGCCAAAAAGTCAACCCATACCAAAAAGTCAAAGATTCTTTTTTCTCTCTATTTTTTGCACATCTTTTCGTAAAAAGCCAAAAAATTATTCCAAACATACTAGTTTTTTTTAACTCATATTTTAGCAAAATAGCCAAAAAGTTACTAAATTAGCCTGTTTCCAAACGAGGCCTCAACCCATACTAACTCATATTTCATAAAAAGTCAAAAAATACATTTATTTAGATCATCCCAAATCACCCTTTAACCTTATTTTCTTTAATAATTTATTAGTTGCACAGATGGAAAATTGGTGTTGCCATGCTTTTACACAACAATGCATATCTTACATTATATATTTATATTTTCACACTATTGACATTAATTCTGATCTATTTAACCTTATTAAAAGGGAGATTAATCTAAGGATTGTTTTGAAAAGTTAGTTACAAACTGATTTTTTGATTTTTTTTTTTTAAAATTATGCAAAAAAATAGAGAGATGATGTGACTCAAAATAGATTAAAAGTTTTCAAATTGACCCTAATTATATCAAAACTGTGAGACTTAATTTTCTTCCATCCTCTGGTGACTATAATTTACCCTTAAAATTATTGTATATTAGACTTAAAAATAGAGGAGAACGTAAGTTATCATACGAAAGAACACCTACATCATGCAAGTGAGGTCAGTCATGATGGTTGCTATGTATAAGATAAGGGGTGAATTATTGTGTGTTCTTTTGGGTCGGATTGGTATGATTTTTAGTTTCGTGAGGTCTTATTTGGAAAGGATGTTTTTATAAAAATTCAAAAAGTTATAATAATTTATCAAATTATTCTATTTATTTTTATGTTTTTTACTAAAAAAAAATTAAAAATTACTAAATATACCAATTTTCAAATGAGCCCTTAATTCATTTAGGCACCAATCCATCTTCGACCTTACTATATGAGCTTTAGAGTTTGATCTACCATGTTTTTTTGTAAATATTTTGAGCCTACTTGTTAAGGGTACTCGTGGTTCGATTTTGGACGGTTCATTTTATAATTTGGACCTGCTTACATATGTGCAGTTTAAAAAAAATTGAACTCGCAACCGCCTACAGTTCGGGTTGTGATTTTTGCAAATAAAGTTCGCGAATGTGGGGACGGTTGCAGGCCGGTTTGCAGATTAAACTTTTTTCTTTAAAAATTATTTTTGAACATTTTTTTTTCATTTTGTAAATATATATTTTGGGCCCTCTTCCCCCCATTTTCAAAATTCTCAAGATTAATAATTAATGAATTAAAACTTATAAAATTAAAAACACAATAAAATCAATTCCTAATACAAACTAATCATTCAAAATCCTAAATTTTTCAATAAAATCATAAACTAATACAAGTACATCTTTTAAAATTCTAAATTAAATTATCAAAATCATTCACCACCCAACAATACAATTAAAGTAAAATCATTCAAAATCCTAAATTTACCTAAAAGTAATTCTTTATTAACTTTTACATTCATCCAAAATGTAATTAAATAAATAAATAAATTGTTATCAAACTTCATCCAATTCAAACCCATTAAATAAAATTAAAACATTTGTAAATTTGCAAACTCCATCATAAAAAAATAAGAAATAAAAAGAGTCTAATACGGGTGGATTCTTGCGGGTTTAGGTAAAATCCGCAACCCACAATAATGCTATATTCCAAATCGTATCTGCCATCATTCTGTCTGTGAAACCGCCTATTTGTATGCGGATTGATTCGGATTGTACAAGTTGTATGATTCGGATAACTCTATGTCCAACGCTATTGCTTTGTTTAGCACCCACTTGCTTAGTGCAAAAGAGATTAATTTCTCACAATGCCTTCTCATTTACGCTCGAGTAGGACACAATGTCTCCTAAAAAAATTTAAGAAGAATTACATTTTAGTGGGAGAATTTTTTTTTTTTTAACACGAAAATGGATAGGGTGCATGTCATACTTGTACCCTTACAACTTTTCACTTGTACTTTATCACAAAACCACTTGCACCTCACATGTTTTTATAATATTTTTTATGTCCATTTCCCCAAAAATTTAAAGACCCAAACTAAAGAATATAGTACTAAGGATTCGGTTGAGAAGAATTTTTTTAGCCTGAATTTTTAATTTTTTTGTTAATTTAGCCTGACTAAATTAGTTTCGTTTGAGAAGAATTTTTTTAATTTTTTTGTGAGAAAAAAAATGAAATAATTACGACTTTTTTTAACTGAAAATGATTGTGGATGAATTATTTTATTTTATTGACTTATTTAATCTATCTTATTTTTTTATACTTTTTTTAATCTCAACCTAAATCTAACCCACTGGCCAAATAAGGACAAGCATTAGCATTAGATGGTGTGACATTCGTACTTTAAAAATCAATGACTGAGATGACCATCAGATGCAAACTCAAATATGAATGTGACCAAAAAAAAAAGTATGACCCAATATTAAATGGGTAAATGGGTAAATGGTTCTTATGAGTGGATGAATAAATTTGAACCTTTAATTGACAAAACAAAATGCCAACCTTGTACCCATTCTCAAAGAGCAGATTCTTTGACATTTTTTTACAAATCAAAAACCCAAATTTGACCACCACAAACAAATTTAATTTTGAATCAAATCAAAAAATTCGACCCAAAATTGGATGAGGCAATAGATTTTGTGAGTGCATGAACAAATCTGAACTTTGATGCTCAGGATTGGGTCTCTCTAATTCGGACCCAAATTGGAGAGAAATCATTCTCTAAATTTTCTTAGAATAGAGTTTTCCAAAATAGGAAAAAACAATTTAGTTTCAAATAGCTTCTTTTTATTCTTCTTGGGTAATTGATATTACAACACTGGCTTCAAGCTCAAACATTGTAACAGGATGACAAAGAAACACAACTAAAAACCAAACCACATCACACCATATTGAACAAACTACAATACAAGAAAATTATTATGGATGAGTTATCTAGTTTACACGATGTGTTAATTTGATTCTTATAATTTTAATTTGCTCGATTTTGTTCTTTAATTTAGCGAATTGTATCATTTTAGTCTAATAAATAACGGTTGTTAAGTTAATTTAACGGAAGGTCAAATAATTTGTTAATTTGGTCGCTGTATTTTACACGATGTGCCAATTTGGTCTCAGTAGTTTCAATTTTCTCGATTTTGACAGGGACTAAATTGACACTTTGTAGAAAATACAGAGACCAAATTGCCACATTGTGAAAAATATAGAGACTAAATTAATACATTGTTTGACTTTCCGTTAAATGAACTTAACAACCATTATTTATTGGACTAAAATGACACAATCCATTAAATTAAGGGACAAAATCGAGTAAATTGAATTTATAAGGACTAAATTAACCCATCGTGTAAACTATAGAGATTATTTGCATAATTTTCCCAATTATTATATCTATCCCATCCCATGATTGACGAGGAGTATTTCAAACAATCCCACAACTAGTTTCTAGTCATGGAAACAGTGACATTGAAGAACTCAGTCCTCTCTTTGGCCATGCGATCTGCGACTATCTTCTTGTATCTTTCAAACACCTCATCGATGATTTCTACACCGAAATGACTAACAAGCAATGACTCAGCCACAGCTCTCATGCACTTTGCAACATCGTACCCATCTTCCTTAAACTCCTGGTCGGTTGATGATGGGCATAATTTGGCTTTGCAGGCATTCCAGTCGACTCTAGAAACCTCAAGGCGATCAATGGTGAAAGAGCCTTCTTTCTGAACCTCAGATTTTACCTCAGCAGGGGATGGAGTGTATTGTGGGATGTTGAATGAATCCATCTTCTCTTCTTCTATCAATCCCTGCATTGATTCTTACATTCATTCGTTAGTGTCATGCCAACAATAAAAATAAAAAGTTTTGTTCACACATGGAGAAAGAATGTAAACAAAGCACAATTTCCTATTGGTCCATAATAGTGAATCCTTAATTCGAAAAATGTATTGATCTCTACTTTATTTTTATTTTTATTTTTATTTTTTTTATCGGCAAAAAGTAACATTTTATCAATGAGTTTCAACTCCAGAAATTTTAATAGATGGATCATTCACAAATAGACATTCTATCAAATCTAAAAATAAAAAATAAAAATAAATAAATAAATAAATAAAACCCTTCTCTTCTACCAACATTCGTGTTTTCATTGCCAGCAATAAAAACCTAAATTAAATATTCAAATCCAAACTATAATTTTTTTAATTTTCTAATACATTCATACTATTTGTTTCCGCAATTTAATTTCACGAAATTTCATACTTTGAAATGATTGAATGATACGATCATGGCAATTTAATTTCACAACGTTTCATATTTTGATAAGATTGAATGATAATATCATTACTAACGGTACCAAACAATTTTTATTCATATATGTGACCAAACAATCATTAAAATAAAATACAATACCTATATATATTCTTGAAGTTTTGAACTCAACCGAAAAATAAAAATAAAAATAAAAATAATCAAGGCTTCAAAACTTTCAAGTGTGCCATCAATTCGTGCCAATTGTCGTTGTCATTTTTGTCAACTGCAGTTGTCATTTTTATTACTAGATGACCGGTTGAATGACCGATATGAATAAATTCGGACGATTCAAAAAGTCAAAATTTAGTGGATGTAGTATTGCTCTTCTTTTTTAATCTTTTTGGGTAATATGTTTTTAATAAATTTATCCCTTCCTTTTAAAGTTTTTTTTTTTTTAATTTTAGAAAATATGTTAATTTTTTGTTTTTCTACTAACTAACAAATAATAAAATTAAATTTTTTCATTAAACTATAAATAATAAATTAATTTATAAAAGAGGCCAAAAAAATGATTTGACAGTAATGGTTGTTCACTACAGGAAAATACACCTTTGGCGACTAAATTTTTAGTCGCC